CGATCGGAGGTATAAATGCTCAGAAGTCTAGTGTGTTTCATTTTTGTAACTTTAAGGGCCCTATTTAGATGGTCTAAAACGCAAAGCGCCAGGCGTGCGGCGCATGGGTGTGTCCCAGTCACTTGCTAGTTAGACAGCGCGTTTTCAGACTGTGCGCCATGGTGGAGAGTCTAAAAGGGTTGGACTTACTCTGTGAATTAGTCATGGGTGTGTTTTGGGCGTATCATTCAATAAGCCAATCAGAGTGTCACCTCTCATTCCCTTTAAAAGAGGCGCATGGTGGAGAGCTAGTTAGATGGCGGACCTACCCACTGGAAAGAGTGAGCGTCTTACAGCTGAGGAGACGATAAATGTACAGTACAGGCCAAAAGTTTGGACACACCTTATCATTCAATGCGTTTTCTTTATTTTCATGACTATTTACATTGTAGATTCTCACTGAAGGCATCAAAACTATGAATGAACACATGTGGAGTTATGTACTTAACAAAAAAAGGTGAAATAACTGAAAACATGTTTTATATTCTAGTTTCTTCAAAATAGCCACCCTTTGCTCTGATTACTGCTTTGCACACTCTTGGCATTCTCTCCATGAGCTTCAAGAGGTAGTCACCTGAAATGGTTTCCACTTCACAGGTGTGCCTTATCAGGGTTAATTAGTGGAATTTCTTGCTTTATCAATGGGGTTGGGACCATCAGTTGTGTTGTGCAGAAGTCAGGTTAATACACAGCCGACAGCCCTATTGGACAACTGTTAAAATTCATATTATGGCAAGAACCAATCAGCTAACTAAAGAAAAACGAGTGGCCATCATTACTTTAAGAAATGAAGGTCAGTCAGTCCGGAAAATTGCAAAAACTTTAAATGTGTCCCCAAGTGGAGTCGCAAAAACCATCAAGCGCTACAACGAAACTGGCACACATGAGGACCGACCCAGGAAAGGAAGACCAAGAGTCACCTCTGCTTCTGAGGATAAGTTCATCCGAGTCACCAGCCTCAGAAATCGCAAGTTAACAGCAGCTCAGATCAGAGACCAGATGAATGCCACACAGAGTTCTAGCAGCAGACCCATCTCTAGAACAACTGTTAAGAGGAGACTGCGCCAATCAGGCCTTCATGGTCAAATAGCTGCTAGGAAACCACTGCTAAGGAGAGGCAACAAGCAGAAGAGATTTGTTTGGGCCAAGAAACACAAGGAATGGACATTAGACCAGTGGAAATCTGTGCTTTGGTCTGATGAGTCCAAATTTGAGATCTTTGGTTCCAACCGCCGTGTCTTTGTGAGACGCAGAAAAGGTGAACGGATGGATTCCACATGCCTGGTTCCCACTGTGAAGCATGGAGGAGGAGGTGTGATGGTGTGGGGGTGTTTTGCTGGTGACACTGTTGGGGATTTATTCAAAATTGAAGGCACACTGAACCAGCATGGCTACCACAGCATCCTGCAGCGACATGCCATCCCATCCGGTTTGCGTTTAGTTGGACGATCATTTATTTTTCAACAGGACAATGACCCCAAACACACCTCCAGGCTGTGTAAGGGCTATTTGACCAAGAAGGAGAGTGATGGAGTGCTGCGGCAGATGACCTGGCCTCCACAGTCACCGGACCTGAACCCAATCGAGATGGTTTGGGGTGAGCTGGACCGCAGAGTGAAGGCAAAGGGGCCAACAAGTGCTAAACACCTCTGGGAACTCCTTCAAGACTGTTGGAAAACCATTTCAGGTGACTACCTCTTGAAGCTCATGGAGAGAATGCCAAGAGTGTGCAAAGCAGTAATCAGAGCAAAGGGTGGCTATTTTGAAGAAACTAGAATATAAAACATGTTTTCAGTTATTTCACCTTTTTTTGTTAAGTACATAACTCCACATGTGTTCATTCATAGTTTTGATGCCTTCAGTGAGAATCTACAATGTAAATAGTCATGAAAATAAAGAAAACGCATTGAATGAGAAGGTGTGTCCAAACTTTTGGCCTGTACTGTATCTCTATATCGACTGTCCCGTCACATCTGATGACAGATCAAAGGGGATTGGCACCGTTTGGCACGCGTAATGGAAACCCAACCTGATTTGATTAACACTGCAAATAAGTTCACATCTCTCTCAGCCACAAACAGCCACAGCATCAGACAGGGAGTATATATTCAGCATCTGTCGTCTTAGAAAAGTCAAAAGAAAAGAAACAGAGTGAGACTGCGAGAGAGAAAGAGAGAGAGCGCGCGCGCACAAGAGAAACGCTGGGAGGTTAGAGAGCACAGCTCCCTCTCCAGCATCCTCCGCGGGGGGGGGTGTCAGGATGCTTATAGCCTACTTGTAGGGCTATAAGTTTACGTTTTTAGTTCACAGAAGCTGGTTATTGTTGTGTTTATGTCAAATTAAAGTTTATCAGACGTTTTCACATCTTTGATTTTGTGATTTACATGCCAAAATGATCACAATTCAATTGGGAAAGACAAGTTCATTTTACAGGCTATGCAGTTCCGTATATTCGGACACTGCGAGCTTGGACCTCCCGGATTATGATGATCATTATTACTGCGATTAGATCATTCTGATTAATGACTGACCATTAAGATGTGTTTCTGATAAATATTGTAATGTGCACAATAATAACCTTTCACATTGTAATCATATTTTTATTTGTTATCTTTTGCATATGTGTGGCTGCTCCGTGTGTGTCTGAGCAGAGTGCACGCGCATTGTGCACCCGCCTAGAGACGCATATTACTAACTTGTTTAACAGCGAAATACTGCGCCGTTGACTTTAGACCAGGTTTTTGTTGGTCACTGGCGCATTTGCTTTTTACATCATCTAACTAGCAACGCGCCATGACTGCACCTGACCACTCCTCATTTTTAGACCAACACACCCAGAGAAGCGCAAGTTCATTTGCTAGTTAGACGATGAGGGCGCAGGGCGTGAAAATGACAACTGTGCCTGCATCTAAATAGTAATGACACTTGCGACATGGATTATGCGCCCTCCGCCATCCGCTTTAGACCATCTATATAGGGCCAAAAGGCTTCAGAAAACATACAAGACACATGCAAAGTCATAGGAGGAGAAGCTTGTAGGTTTTATCTCAGAGTTATTTGCATTATAAAAACTGTCTTGGCGGCTCTAGGACAAGTGCACTTACATTGATCACTTCCATAAAATAAAACGAGAAATTGGAGAAGATTGAAAAAAATGTTAAAATTAAATTAGGGAACTGATCACAGATGTATTGTCTCTGTGTGTTTTTACATCTATTGTTGCTTTTAATTTGCAGCTATACTTTTAATGAAGCTGACATGTCATGACAGTCAAGCACCCCCCTGGGATTCCGGGGTTACGGCAGCCAATCAGCGTTGAGCTGCAAGCGACAGGACCCAGCGAAATACCGCTCCAGATAAGATTTCTCATCTCAAGCGACGAGCGAAAAATCGCTCTGTCGCTGTCGCTCGGAGCCCGAGCGATTTTTCTCCTGGGCGAATATACGCTCAATCGCCTGTTTGCATTGACTTTGTATGTAAACTCGTCGCTAGCGGAAAAAAAACAGGTCCGGTGTGAACACACCTTTAGACAATGCCGTCTGCAGCTGTGATGATTTCATATTGAAACAGAATGCTTGATCACTAGGGGAACAGTTGCCGTTGTGACCAAGAATTATGTTATGAATATGAACAGTTCACAAGTTACAAATTACTCACTCCCACAGTTTTTTTGGAGCCTGCTTGCTTTTTGTAAACTTGTCTTCATTGGTGGCCCTGAAATGAATCAGGGCTCATGTTTTGTCTGGTGGCCCTGAAATGGAACAGAGATAACAGCATTACTTTCTTTTATTTTTTATTTTTTTGGGCTACCTGTCAGATATTCGTTAAGTTAATAGTTTAGTTTCATGTAGTATTGCAAGTATTATCACAATGAATACTGTAGTCAACATCCAGCAGAACCGGTGAGGCTGTTTACATGGTCAAACAAGTGTTATCTGGTGACTTTCATCCACATTAATGTTTCACTCTTTGGGTTATAAGTTAATATTCAACCAAATAACTTGTACCACAACAACTGACGTAACTTATTCAGCGGAAAGTCAAAAGATAATACGATCACTAACGTTAACCTGCAGCTGTAATGTTACCAGCTGCAGACTCTACGGCTACAGGAGATGACACCGTCCAGTCATCTTACAAAAATGTCGATGAAAACATTTCATGTATATTAAAACAACTTAACAACTACATTATCACTGAGAAAAATGACTTTTTGTAACTTAATGACAGCATACTTGGTTATCAGAGAACCAGGGTTATGTGCGGAGCGAGCAAGCCATCGCCCGCGACAGCTTTGTTAGCTAGCTAAAAAAATATGTGTGTTACGCTACAAAGAGGTAAAAAAAATCTTAAACTAAGATAATGCAATGGTTATCATAATTTTAAAACAACTATTAACAAGGAAAATACTCACATTGATAACTCTACCAAGGGTGGTCCTGGAAAATCTTAAAAGTGAGGGCCACAGTCCTTATTCTTGACCCTCAACTCAACACTCTGAGAATCGGGACAGCACTAGCACTTCGCGGGAGCGTGGATTTTTGAGACTGAGGGTTAAGATTGAGGGTTAAGATAGGAATTGGGATTGGGCCTTAATTTCTTTTTTTCCAACCTGCGGGAGGTGGGCTTTCACAAGTCAGAATTAGGTCAGACAGGCGTAGCTTTAAATGCATTTTCTGTCCTTAACAGTAATTGTTCCTAGCATAAAACATATAGAAAATATTTACAAGTTAGGGCCAGACAATTCATACATAGCTGCTGTTTATAGCTGCTTTGAGTGCAGGGTATTGTAGTCCTACACTCAACCATAGTATTAAAAAACACAGTGGTGATTTTAAACTGTCCAAATCTTACATTTGGAAGATGTCATTTATTAACACATCATGTTTTTCATCCAAAATAAAAAGTGTTTGTTTTTATAGTGTATTTAAATTGATGGTTGCCATTTCTTTGTGTTACAGCTGGTAGAAACAGAAAATGTTCGAGGCGTTATCACCATGAACGAGGAGTATGAGACCAAATACTTCTGCAACTCAGCTGAGGTGAGTTCACTTCACTGAGGATTCCATTTAGAGGCATCCTGTGTCTATAACAGAGCCATTAACACTATAATAATATTTAATATAATAATAATAATAATAATAATATAAACACTATTGATACAGTCGAAGACACAAAATCACCAAGTGCTCATTTCACAGTTTTAAGTAGTCCACGTTTCTTTTGTGACTCTCCTCAAGAGATGGAGTTTTGTTTCAGTTAGATTATTTAAATTAACTGAACTATTAATGATTGGTTTATACCTGAAATACAAAGTCAGTTTATCGGTTAGTCAGTCAACTGAAATTTAATCAGCAACCATTTTTACAATTGATTTATTGTTTCAGTCATTTTTCAAACAAGAAGTGTCAAACATTTACTGGCTCCATCTTCTAAAATGTGAGGATTTTCTGATTTTTCTTTGCCATATATGATAAATAAACTGAATTTCTGTGGGCTGGACAAAACAAGTAATCTGAAGTAATCTGGGAAATTCTTACAGGCATCAACACTGTTTCTTTTGCATTAATTGACAAAATAATAAGCAGATTAATTGATAATGAACATAATCATTTGGTTTGGTCTCAGGTTGGTGCTGCTTAGATCTGAAAAGCATCTGTTGAGTATCAGTGGCTGATTTCTAACATTATAAACAGAGCTGAGGGTGTTTTTTTTTCTTTACATATTCCACTCATCCATGAGTGGTTGATTTGATGTGTTTGATGCTGGCATCAGGAGTGGCGGGCTGTAGGGGTGGAGCAGCTGAGGCTGAGCACGGTTGACCTTACTGGTGTCCCCAGCCTGGAGAACCTGTGCCGAGGTGTGGAGTTCGCCTTGCAGCACCGAGGGAAGGGAAGCAGCGTGTATGTCCACTGCAAGGCTGGACGTTCCCGCAGTGCCACACTCGTTGCTGCATACCTCATTCAGGTCAGTACACATTTTGTCAGGGGGGACTCCAACTGAGGCTAATATGAGGCTTCAGCAGTCACACTCACACAGATTAAGTGGGAATCTTTCAAAGCTTGTCTTTTCAGGTAGTCTTTTCTCAGACAATACATGTGCTGAGCTGAAGTGGACTGCTCAAATCATTAATGTCACAGTAATGTCATAAGATCCCCACTTGATTTAACTGAAGCCTCAAATGAATTTCAACTGGACTTTAGAATGCTTTTTTACACAGAATGAGGACTGAGCCATTTTTTCCCTCTCTTCTTCTTATTTAGTTTTTAATTATTTTTTGTTAAGTTTAATACTAAAGTTGTTTGAGTGAAGACTCATGTCTAAGGTACAGTTTATACTGCTCAAAGGAAATAAGGGAACACTTAAAACACACATCAGATCTTGATGAAGGAATTATTCAAGTTGAAAATCTTTACTGATGTACATTGTATAATTTGTTTAGAACAAAATGATGTAACAACCATCAGTGGAAACCAAAATCATCAACCCACTGAGGGCTGGATTCAAAATCACACCAAAAATCAAAATAACAAATTGTAATCACACAACCTCATCCAACTTCCGTAAATTTTATCACAGCAACTCATAATGTGACACAGTAGTGCATATGGCCCCTGCGTGCCTGTATGCACTCCCGACAACATCACGGCATGCTCCTGATGAGTTGGCAGATGGTGTCCTGGGGGATCTCCCCCCAGACCTGGATCAGGGCATCACTTAGGTCCTGGATGGTCTGTGGTGGTACTTGGCAGTGTTGGATGCACCGATACTTAACGTCCCATAGGTGCTCAATTGGATTTAAGTCAGGGGAACAAGAGTGCCAGTCAGTGGCATCATGTAAGGAAAAAGGGCTCTTCTTACCTTGAATGCTGCTGTTTGCAGGACATTGTAAATCTCCTGGTTGTCTTGTTAGTAAGCATTCCCTTGGGGTTGAAGAAAGAGCTGGTCCCTGTAGCTTGTCTGCATTCAAATCATGCAGGGATTTTCCCCTATTGATGTATGATTAATAATTTGTCATTCATGGTTTTTACATCCAGACTGGGTGAATTGTGTAGGATTTGTTGTTCTGCCTTTGTACTGCTGTACTATTCCAAAGCTTTATATAAGATTACAGCTTAACCTCAAAGTTATTGTTCAATTTCAAAGCCAAAAATGGCCACAGTAACGCTGATATCAACATCCAGGAGATTCACTGATTTTATGAATCTTGGTCCCATCTGTTTCTCCAGTCCATCAGTGAATAGCAACTCTGTTGATTTTGACATTTGCACTTTTCTGCTGACAGTTACACTGCTGGACTCCAGAGGAAGCCTGTCAGAAGCTGGCGTCTATGCGACCGCACATTCTGGTGCGTTCGGCTCAGCTGGACATGCTGAGGAAATACTACCAGCAGGTGTGTAAACAGTCCAGCTGAGTGAGCAGGACACCGGGTCAGACCTCATTATGCTCCCACAGCTGCTGTAACACTGGACTCAGAGCCTTATACAATACTCCATGTCAGAATGTACACCCACTGAAGACAACACCAAACCGCTTGTATTTCCCTTAATGTTTTTAAATCAAATCGTCAAGTTTTTACTGGGAAATGGCAACCTTTTAATAGGAAATTCACAACTTGGCAGTAAGCAAAAATGGCAATTTGTACAAGTAACATTCATTCACCTTCTAACCACTTCATCCTCTTGAGGGTCGTAGGGGGGCTGGAGCCTATCCCAGCTGACATTGGACGAGAGGCAGGGTACACCCTGCACAGGTCGCCAGACTATCGCAGGGCAGACACATAGAGACAGATAACCACTCTTGCTCACATTCACACCTACGGACAATTTAGAGTTATCAATTAACCTAATTAATCTGCATGTCTTTGGACTGTGGGAGGAAGCCTCAATGCCCGGAGAGAACCCACGCTGACACGGGGAGAACATGCAAACTCCACACAGAAGGGCTCCCACACCCGGGATCGAACCGGGAACCCTGTTGCTGTGAGGCGACAGTGCTAACCACCACACCACCGTGCAGCCCGAAGAAACATTATCATTTTTTTTAATAACTTTTATCATATAAAACATGCAACTTCTTTCGTGTAACTCCCTGACTGCCTGGTTTCTTGCTTGTGGCTGAAAGATGTTAAAAAAAATATACAAAAAGATGTTAAAGATCATCAATAATGATGGTTTGTGACTGTAATCATAAAAACACTCAGCAAGACCAGGACATTTTATTACATAATTCAGCAGTCAAGCTGCTACTGTGTTTACTGGAAAACATTTCAATTCAATTTATCACACCTTCCTGCACTGCCTCAGAACTTCCAAAATACTGACAGTGATGTTAAATAAAATATAAGTGAGTGAAAATGGTCTATTGGTGTTTATGCTCCTTTGTTTCCACATGTAGGTACAACTAATTATAACGTGTATATATAGTGTGTACATGAAAGCTGTTATAGTGATTCTAGTGAAGAAATTACATTAAAACTAGTCTGAGTGGGCGGAAGTTTGCTGCAGAGATCAGCCTCTCATTGGGCGGAACGAGCCACCCGCTGAAGTCCCGCCCTACCACCTCCAGTTGTGTAGCAGTTTTCAACTGTTTTCAACACGTCCTTTACTAACTTTTGTGGTGTTTGATCTCGTGGGGATGTAGCCATTTTTCTGCCATGGTTCGCGTCCTGTAGGTGATATTTTTGTGGGCGTGTTACACCAAAACCTTTATCCCCCCGGCAATATTTTTGCAAGCGCACCGTTGCTGTGGCACCGTCCAGAACAATTGTGATTGGTTGAAAGAAGTACAAGCAGCCGGGGCATTTTTTTCTCCAATCTCAAAGTGTGAGTCGGCCCAGCCAGACCTTTCTTTTCTTGAGAAAGGCCTGGTGAGCGAGACTACATTAAAACATACTTTAGTAATCTACTGACAAGAGACACTGCTGTTTCACATGAATTCACACAAGAAGCTGCACCACATCCATTTTAAGTAGAGCTGAAAAGAAAGCAATACATCTACACAGAACTGTACCTCTGTAAAGTATCAGTACCTGAAATTTTTCTTAAGTTGCCAGTATATTCAGGGAACCGGAATGTAGGTGGTAAAAGTGGGAACCCCCCTTTTGTTTACATATAGAATTGGCTGAATAAACAGATAAAAGACTATAAAACTAACAAGTATTAAAATTCGCCAGTTTCCACAGAGCTATGGCAACCCTCTTAGACAAAGGAACACAAAGGCGGTAGTTGGTGTCACTTTTCTCCAGCTCTGGTCTACGACAACGGCAGAGATATTGAAAAGTGTTCTTAGCGACTCTTGTGCATTCTGTCCATCTGACGCTCTATGGAACGCACTATTTCAAATTACCTGTGGGGGGTGGGAGTATCAGATGATACTTTGAAATGTGTTTTAATGTCATGTTATGTCTCTTTGTGGTCATTGTGAGTCCCCCAGTCAATTTGGGTGATATTTTGCAAGTGAAGGGGCCCCTGGGTCTGTGCCCAGTAGGCCGTTAAGTGATCTATCGATGTGCGAGAAAGACACAGATGAAGACAGGAATGGTGGGGGACCCACAGAGACTGCTTATGCATATAGGACCCAGAATTTGGGTTCTGCCCCTGACTACACATGAAAAGAGTTTTGTTTTCAGGCACTGGTTGTTTTTGATATTTTGGGCTATTTTGTTTCCATAATGTATTTTTTTTTTCAGATTAGTGGAAAGAAAGCATTTAAAATACACACTTCAGTGTTTATTTTACTTATTAATGCAAGAAGTGCATATTTAATTAGATAATGCTACATTTCAATTCAATTCCATTTTATTTATAAAGCCCAATATCATAAATCACAATTTGCTTCACAGGGCTTTACAGCATACAACATCCCTCTGCCCTTAGGACCCTCACAGCGGATAAGGAAAAACTCCCCAAAAAAACCCCTTTAACGGGGGAAAAAAAAATGGTAGAAAACTCTGAGGAGGGATCCCTCTTCCAGGACGGACAGACGTGCAATAGATGTCATACAGAACAGATCAGCATAATAACATTAATAAAAGTAATAATATTATCGTTATAGTTCTGGCTACTGTGGTACAATATGTTGAAAGTATATATTAGTCTGGCAGTATACATGTGTGATAATAATCATATGTGTATAATAACAGTAGATAAGAGTTAATCTGAGAGACAGTGGAGCACAAAGGCTCCGGAGAAGAAGCCGAGTTAGTGACATCCAGAATGGCCGAATTAGCAAGATGCAGTAATAGGATACGAGAGAGAGAGAGAAGGAGAGAAGGTGCCCGGTGTATTATAGGGGGTCCTCCGGCAAACTAGGCCTAAGTCAGCCTAACTAAGGGCTGGTACAAGGCAAGCCTGAGCCAGCCCTAACTATAAGCTTTATCAAAGAGGAAAGTCTTAAGTCTAGTCTTAAATGTGGAGACGGTGTCTGCCTCCCGGACCGTAACAGGAAGATGATTCCACAGGAGAGGAGCCTGAAAGCTGAAGGCTCTTGCTCCTGATCTACTTTTGGAGACTTTAGGGACCACGAGTAACCCTGCATTCTCACAGCGCAAAGTTCTGGTGGGATAATATGGCACTATGAGCTCTCTAAGATATGACGGAGCTTGACCATTTAGAGCTTTATAAGTTAACAGTAGGATTTTAAATTCAATTCTAATTCTTCTTTAAATTCAATTTTACAGGGAGCCAGTGCAGAGAAGCTAAAACAGGAGAAATATGATCATGTTTCTTAGTTCCTGTTAGTACACATGCTGCTGCATTCTGAATTAGCTGGAGAGTTTTTAAGGACTTACTAGAGCTACCAGATAATAGAGAGTTACAGTAATCCAGCCTTGAGGTAACTAAAGCGTGGACCAATTTTTCTGCATCTTTTCGGGTCAGGATAGGCCTAATTTTCGCAATATTACGCAGATGAAAAAATGCAGTCTGTGAGGTTTGTTTTAAATGAGAATTAAAAGACAAATCTTGATCAAATGTTACTCCGAGGTTTCTTATGGTAGTGCTAGAGGCCAGAGCAATGCCATCTAGAGAAACTATGTCATCAGATAAAGAGTCTCTGAGTTGTTTGGGGCCAAGAACAATAACTTCAGTTCTGTCTGAATTTAACATCAGGAAATTGGTGCTCATCCAGGTTTTTATGTCTTTAAGGCAATTATGAAGTTTAGTTAATTGATTACTTTCTTCTGGCTTCATCGATAAATACAACTGTGTATCATCCGCATAACAATGGAAATTTACAGAGTGATTTCTAATGATGTTACCTAAAGGAAGCATATATATAGAGTAAATAGGATTGGTCCGAGCACAGAACCTTGCGGAACTCCAAAACAAACTTTAGTATCCAAGGATGACTCATTATGAATGTGAACAAACTGAAAACGATCAGATAAATAAGATTTAAACCAGTTTAGTGCAGAACCTTTAAGGCCAATTAAGTGTTCCAGTCTCTGTAGCAGAATTTGATGGTCAATTGTGTCAAACGCCGCACTAAGATCTAATAAAACAAGTACAGAGACGAGTCCTTTGTCTGAAGCAATCAGCATGATGCACTCTAAATCCTGACTGAAATTCCTCAAATAAATTATTATCATGGAGAAAATCACACAGCTGGTCTGCGACTACTTTCTCAAGGATCTTTGAAAGAAAGGGAAGATTAGATATTGGTCTATAGTTGGCTAACACCTCTGGATCCAGGGTGGGCTTTTTTCGGAGAGGTTTAATTACAGCTACCTTAAAAGACTGTGGTACATAGCCTGTTAATAAGGATATATTGATCATATCTAATATATGAGTGTTAACTAAAGGTAAGACTTCCTTAAGTAGCCTAGTTGGGATGGGGTCTAAGAGACACGTTGATGATTTAGATGAAGAAATCACTGCGGTCAGTTCTTGAAGAGAAATCAGGGAGAAGCAATCTAAATATATATTAGGTCTTACAGCTGTGTTTGAGGTTAGATAGGTACTATCTGAGGACAGGAGGTCATGAATTTTGCCTCTAATAGTTAGAATTTTGTCATTAAAAAAGCTCATAAAATCATGTCACTAACTAATTAGCTCAGTGAGATAGAAATTGATCCTTACTCTCAGAGGTTGTGGGTTCAAGCCTCAGCTGATGCAAAAGGCAGATTGTGTTGCTAAATTCCTAAATGTCTTCCAATTCTTCTGCTTGTTGCTCAGAATTGCCTAAAAATGCCCGGAGCCGACCCATCGCTGCACAGCAGCTATAATTATTATTGTTATTCCTTTTACATAAAACTCTTTCTCAGCAAATATGGGAAACACTATCAAATTGTTTATTTAACCCTTAGAAACCTGAGCAAATTGGCTTGATTTCTTTAAAAAACATAGGAAGAAGGCAGTGAGCAACTTAACTAGAAATGACCCAAAAATAAATAAATAAAATAAAATAAACAGTAAGAAGTTATAAAATATAAATGTTACCTGGAAAAAAAGGCAAAAAAATGGAAAAAAATACAAACTCCAAAAGTTAGACATTTTCCCCATTTTTTAATAATAATTTTCAAAAAATTATCAGTCTTTCTCAAATTTTTAAAAAAAAATGATTTTCAGGTCATTTCCATGTCCTCTTTTACCAGCTTATTTCTCATTGTCATTTTATTTTTCCATGTGTTTGAAAAAAAAAAATCAAATTGATTTGCCCAGGTTTCAAAGGTTTAAATGCTTGTGAAAGGGCACTTGGATGCAGCACAAGAAAACTGATGTTGACACAGGTCTCAAAGGGTTAAAACAGTATGAATAGTGCTTGTATAAAAATGAGGCCATAG